CAGAGAAACTTTCTGCCAAATAACCCGTGACAACGAAGGAAGCTTCTGTAAGTGAAAGGCAAAAAATAATAAGAAAATTCATGAAACAAAGGATTTCCACCCAGATCCCGTAGTTAGATGCCTCACATCTATTGATCTGTCAGTAGATTTATTTTTTTAAACCTGCTCTATATCACCTTTCATCTGACTCCAACAGAAAACAGGAACCAAAACACATTTGCACATCTGGCCCATTTCCTCTCGCTTCTCACCTGCTCAAGAAGGAGTGCAGCTGCTGCGGCGGTGGGTGATGAGTACCGCATGCAGCAGCACCAGCTCAGGTGAGGACAGTTTCTCATCCTTGGAAGAGCGATCATTTTGACAGTAACGTCTGCAGAACAGCATGAGAGGAACAGGATGGGCACGTCCTGCTCCAGCTTTGGTGTGCATGGTTTTACCGCTGAGATCAAACGTTGGAGGCCAGAGTAACAATAAACTACTGCATATAGTTGTAAATTCTGTACATAGCGACACTTTTTAGATTCCTTGGGAAGATGGGAAAGTTGATTTTCATTCCTGTGACAATTCTACTTCATTATCTAAATATGGCAAGCATTCAAATAAAAAAGACTTTCATTAAAATCCCTTTGAGAATCGTTTTGTTTCTTCATGTTCTCTTGACTCGTGCACCTCACTCTCTCCTCTTCCAAAAGCGAAATGAGTTCCAGTCAGTCAGAGCCCAGGTGAAGAGGAAACACGTTTTGTTTCTTCCGAAATCAACAGGAACAGAATTAAACAGATGGGTCCCCTCGGCCTAATTAAGATTCTTCTTCTAAACTTGGCTCAGTCAGTGATCCCAGTGGCCCAGCTGGTGGTGGCATGGAGAGGGGTATGGGGAGAAGCTTGCAGACCACTGCTACTTAAGTCTTCATTTCCTCCAGCCATGACCCATGAAACTCATGAAGGAGCTCTTCACCTCTGTGGGGCAGGATCATTTGTCTACAAGGCATGTTGGAGAACCCAGGTACGAAAAGTAGGTAAGGGCCAAGCTAACAACCCAGAAGGAGCACGGTGAATGAAGAAGAGCTGACTTCAGCCCTGGATCAGGGATGCAGCCGGTGCTAATTCAGACAATGGCTGAACTTGAACATCACACGAACAGAACTTCACTTTTGATGGAAAACAACGAGTTTACAACTTCAGCACAGAGTTCTGCCAAAACCCCAGCAGGCCCCCGCAAGCCTGAACACCCCGTGATGAGGGCAACCTGTGGTTACAGGCGGCTGCAGGAACAGCCTGGCAGGAGGGTCACCGCAGGATGCTGACACACCGCATCCCTCTGCCGCGCAGGAAGGGCTCGAACAAACACCGCTGCCACACAACGCACCCTCAGCAAGCCCGTGGTGACACCACGCTGAGTGCTGCAGCTGAGTCACTGGAGGGAAGGGATGGTGTCCAAGGGACCTGGACAGGCTGGAGGCCCACGTGAACACAGGGAAGTTCAGCAAGATGCAAGGTTCTGCACCTGGGCTGGGGGAATCCCTAGTATTGGTACAGGCTGGGGCATGAAGGGGTTGGAGAGGACTTTGGGTCATTGGTTGATGAGAAGCTCCACATGGCCTGGCAGTGCGTGCTCACAGCCCGGAGATCTACTGTGAGCTGGGCTGCATCCAGAGGAGCGTGACCAGCAGGATCCGGCCCCTCTACTCTGCTCTCGTGAGACCCCACTTGCAGTGCTGCATCCAGCACTGGGGACATAACCTACGGAAGCCCCTAACTCCCCTCCAGAGTGTCCTGGGGACTTATCCAGGCTTTACAGGGGCCTGTGCAGAGCTCAAATCACTCTCCTGAGCACCCCAGCACCATAGCTGGGCTCGGGGTGGGGGGTGGGCTCTGCAGAGCCCCAGTTCCTGTCTTGGATTTGTTTATGTTGTTGTTTTTTTCCAGTGTGTGTGAGGTACCGTAAAGAAAGCAAAGTTGGCACTAGCTCAGCCCCCTTTGTTATGGCCAGCAGTAAAGGTGGCTCTTGGCTGGGGGTACAAGCAGGACCCTGTGCTGTAAGTCTTGGTTCTTCATGAGCAATCTAAAGATGACTGCCATCATCATTTTTACAAGGACATTGTCTGCTGCCGGAAAGTGCAGAATGAAGATTTCTGTTTGGCTTTGTGTCCGCACACAGCCTTTGCTTTTCCTGTATTAAACTGCCTTTACCTCCACCCGCAAGTCTTCATTCTTTCATCTTACTTGCTCCTTCCGTGGTGTGCTGAGGAGGGGGATTAATAAAGCATCTGGGTGGGCACCTGGCAGCCAGCCATGGTCAACCCACCACACAGTGACAGGACATGGGGGAATGGCTTTAAACTGAAACAGGGGAGATTTAGGTTAGACATTAGAAAGAAGTTCTTCCCTATGAGGGTGCTGAGGCGCTGGCACAGGGTGCCCCGAGAAGCTGTGGCTGCCCCATCCCTGGCAGTGTTCAAGGCCAGGTTGGACACAGGAGCTTGGAGCAACCTGCTCTATTGGAAGCTGTCCCTGCCCGTGGCATGGGTTGAACTGGATGAGCTTTAAGGTCCCTTCCAATCCAAACCAGTCTGTGATGGGGAAAACTGTGTTAATGTCACTAGTTCCAGCACTATCATGTTCCCTCACCTCAAAGCCAGAAGTATTCAAAGACTCAAAAGCAAGACACACAATTGGATTGTGTTTGTACACAGAAACCATTTCAGAAGCATCAGAACCAGGATCAAAGGGTCCTTCCCAAAGTGTCTGTAACATGTGCAAGTGTTAAACTAACAAAATCAAACCTCGGTAACTGTCAATGGATTCTCACTTGCAGTCTGCAATACTCGAATTTGCTCTTTAGCTCTGCACAGAGCACTGGTGTGTGTACTAACACCAATAATCATACAATCATAGATTATTTGGGCTCATAAGAGCCGAAACATGAAGAAATCTATTGCAGACAGATGTAGAATTATGCAGAACACAGAAGCAACGATGATGCATTCAAAATGCAAGACGGAAACACAAAACCCCTTGTGAGGTATGATCAGAAACAGAAAACTGGAGCTGGAAGTGGCATGCCAAGGAAGTGAGGAGCAGGCCAAAAAAGGAGGAATTGAAGCAGCTGAGATGAGAGATAGCCAGGCACAAGTAGAACAAAGGAGCATTTCATCGCCCCAGTGCAATGAACACTGGTTATCTGGGACAGCAACTATGCAACATGTTCAGAACGACATTCATGTTGTTTGCTTTGCAGTAGTTATACCCAACATAGAATCACAGAATGCTCTGGGTTGGAAAGGACCTTAAGATCATCCAGTTCCAACCCCCTGCCAACATTTTTGCTTTCTTGTTACGTTTGAGAAAATACTGTCTGTTGGTAAGAGCTGCCGCTTGCCTTCCATTCCGGAGCCAGCGGGAGTTAACTGTTGTGTTCCCAGCCTGAGACACCACCTCAAGTCAAACCCTGCACACACACCAAAGAGTCTCCACATCACTGTGTAGTTTGCACATCTCAGTCACAAACTGACAACATTTGGCAAGTATTTCGTTTGCTGCTACAACAGCTTCAATGCTATTTCCACCTTCAGTGGAGCCAAACCATGTGGGGAGTTCCCATTAAACATCTCTACAGACCTGGCTCCACAAAAGCTGTGTTCTGGTGTCCTAACTACTGAACCTACGTGAGAGCTGTGGCTAAACAAATTAGAACCATTTTATGTGGCTACTTATGACTTTCAATTTAAGAAGAACCAGAAGTCCCCGCTCCAGTTTTTTGCTGGCACATTTGGCACTAAGCTTTCCATGTTTCCGTGTCTTTGCTGCAAGACCTTCTGCTGTTGACACCATCATCATTAATTTACAGCACATTACGGACAGTCTCTGCTGAAAACTTACAACACAAATTAAGTCTTAAAAGCATCCCCAGCCCCTCAGGCGCGCTTCACTGCCTACAAATATAGTGCTCCACGCACACACACAAGAATTTCCACCCAGCAAAGCGCGAGCATGACTAAAGCAAATGTTCTGTAATACACTCTGAGTGTGTCAATGCTTACCCAAGTGCACTGCAAAGTCATCATCTTTCATAACAGGCTGACCAGGATGTGGTTTAATCACATCAAGTCACCAAACTATCAAAGACAACTGGATGTGGCTGGAGGTGATATTCCGTTTTTCCAAGAGGTTTCCCAGTCAACTTCTCAGAGGGCTGAACCGTACTGAGGGTTAGTGACTGGTTCCCCAACCAGTATCTTAAAGCTTTAAAATTCACCTAAAAGAAGCAGACACAAAGTGTGTTCGCACATGGTGAATTACCGTTCAACTGTGAGCCATGCAGAGCTTCAGCGCTTTTCAGTGCTGCAGAAAGAAAACACAGGAAAACATCACGGAAAGTCACAGTAAATGATACCTAAGAGATTCCTGGGTTTAACCTATACCCGTTAAAAAAAACACATTCACAAAAAGCTACAAAGAATTGAAGTCTCAGTTTAAGAGAAGATGAGGGCAGAGCACATCTTGTTTGCCTCAAATGTCAATTCCTTCAAGCACAAGAAGCTACAGGATATTCTCTGCCTTTTTTGTAGGAGCCCGAAGCATCGTCGCCTCGGAAAGTCAAGCAAAGCGGTGTCATTATCATCTGACAGCGCAGCATAAGGAGCTGTATGGTGCAGAAGTGACACTGCCAGTTGTCACAGCAAAGATCTTCCTCGCAGGGTTTTATAAAGGATATGATCTGACTTAACACTCTTCAGTACATATAAACAACCTTGACAGTTTCCTCCTCCCTCGTCTAAGCACGCTGCCGACAAGACTGTAGCTGGTTCTATGCCTGCAAAAGCCAATTAACTTTGAAGAAAGAAAATCTCCTTCCAGTTCCAAGTTAAATATTTACCGCTTAGATGTTTTTTCCTACACCAGATGGAATTACTGACAATTTCTCAGTACACATGTATTTCAGGTTTCTAGCTATCCACCTCTGAGCAGGAAATCCCTGTAATGTCAGTTCACTAATGCTAAAAAAATTCCTTAAGAAAATAGCTATTTTCATGGCTTTAAACGCAACAATGTTGAATGTGACACCAAGAACCTTTCAAACTGGACACCATGAAGGAAGCCATCCATCCCACCAGCACTGCAGGCCTTGACAGGCACGTCAAGCACAACGTGGTGAGGTTTATGAGGGAAAGCTACCTCTGAAAGCTGAACTGGAGGCTCCCTCTTATACTGGATTCCTTATTATTTTGAATAGAAACAAATCAGTGAACAAAGAAAATGATGAGAGGTTAAGAAGAGTCTGGATGCAGATAAATATATATATATATATATGTTCTTTAAAGACATACAACAAGAGTTCTTAAAAAATGTAGTATGAACTTTATTGTACGTATCATTCCATCATCAACTGAAGATATGAGAATAAATACAACAAAACTGTTAAGTTACTAAAGGTGGGAGATGTGCACCTGAACAGAATTGTCTGTCAAAGTGACATAAATCATCTTGGAGGTTACCAAACCAATTGCTTTCAAATTCTGTGGCTGACGCAGTTACCAGTGGTGACAGCACTGAAGGGCCTATGCATTTCACCTCGCCCTGGAATTCCTCTTTTTCTGGTGTAAGATCCCGTCCCATGATCTGCAGAGGAAGAAAGAAGATGGGAAACGAGAAAATAAGTGGAGGGAAACCAGCAACTATTACCTTAATAACAAATCTTCCCAAGACAAGCCCTTGACACATGAACCACACACGATCCAGAAGTTTCCAAGCCACAATCAAGCTGTCTGCCTGTTGCATTCTGCAATACACAGGGAGAGCAGAGAACCCAAGCTCCAGAGCTGCACAACCCACCCTGCCTCTGGCTACGCTCCGACAACGGGATTTTTACTCTCGGAGTAGGAGTGGGAATCTCAACACCAACTGCGTGCTCACCTCGCAACAGCACCCGCGCTCTGATCTGCTCCTGGGGGTGTTGGACCAAAGGAAGCAAAGGGAGAAGTTTGTTTCCTCAACCTTTCCAAAACCTGATAGCCTGAGTGCTGCTGCCCTCTCATGGATGAAAGCCCACAAGACTGCCTGCCAACCCGGCAGCGGCTTGGCTTCCACTCACTCAAAGCTGTAGTACTGACAGCAAAGTCAGAACCTCCCCGGCTTCCTTCTGTTCCTTAGGATAAAAGTCAGAAACTATAAATAGCACTAAAAATGTTTAAACTCTATGAATAAAGTCACACGATGTTAACTTTCCTCCTCTGTATTTCTTTAAAACTAGAACCCAGTACATCAAGCAGAACACAGAAATCACGTAAAAGGATGTCTCTGGCTCTTTCTGAAGATGTTTAATACTTTTTCTGGAAGTGTTTAATGCTGCTGTGACCATCGAAGTAATCTCCATTTCCAGTTCATACTTGTTATTCATTCACTTTGTGGCATCTAAAATTCCCAAGATAAAACCTGCATCCCAGGTAACACAGTGATGATGCATCTGCAAACACAAGTCCAATGAGAAACTTAACAACCCTGAACATTCCCAAAAGGAGCATCTCAACAGAACAGAGATACAGTTGCATGACAAAAGCCAGTGCTACAGAGCTATGGCTGTCAGTTCCAGATAACACACTACCAGGGCAACCCACCCAGCTGATTGCCTTTGCTTCCTGGCTCCATTCGTTCCCTCAGAGGAGTGTCCTAGGATTTTGTGCCTGAACTCCTGGCTCAGGCACCTCAACCAGCCTAAGGATAGCTGAGAACTCACACACAAGGAAACACCCCCTTACCTTGATCATCAACAGCAAGGAATTTTCACTGAAACCAAGTCGTGCCACTTTGTCATCAATTTCTTTTTGACCTTTAATGTTCTTCTCTAGTGCAAAGGATGACTGTTGCGACTGGCTAAGCTGGAGTAAAAGCCTGAAATGAGGAAGGCAGTTAAAAAAAGTACAGCTGGCAGAAAAGTCAGCAACCTAAACCCAACCAACACATACTTCAAAACAGCTCTTCTGGAATTCTGCTGACTGCAAAGAAATTCAGAGATCCCTATCAATGACTATGGGTATGGAATATCCGGGCTCTGAGACTAGTAATTAAAACCAACATGCTGAGTATCTCCAGTTGCACTGCACAAACATTCTTCTCCCCATGTATTCACCACACATTTCAAAAGTGAGGCTCAGATGTGCTTCCATCAACTGCAGCACATCAGGAGAACCACATCTAAGGCCTAACAAGCCAGCAGCGCGCTTTTGCCTGGGGCAGTGATGGTCTTTGCAGTCTGGAAGCTACAAATGTGGGGGGGTTAGAGGAATTTCTAAACTCTTTCACCATAGTTTTATGCTCAGGGCAGCGCCCCAGAAGTCACCACCATGGTTGGTGAAGGTTTGACATTGTGCTTTGACATTGTTGTGCCTTCATGTCACAGGGAGACCCCAACAACAACTGAGTGCGCTGTGGCAGTTTCCAAAGTCCTCCTCACACCAGCATTGTAAAACGTGTCAGCAGAGAAAGTATTTAGGTATATTCAACCAAGGGACCCCTTGGATTGAGCAATATCATTACTGAAACTGTATTTAACTCAAGCTTTATGAATAAAGAACAACAACAAATTTCCTTATCGCATTTGATGAAGTTAAATGAAGCAGGTGTTATGACTGAGGTATGTGTTTTTATGACAAGGAGACTTAAGATCTTAGATGAAAGTTTTCATTTGAGCATTACAAACATCAAAATTTACAAGTCTGAGCCAAAAAAACATTTGTAAATTCAGTAAAGTTTGAACTGGGAAATTCACAGTCAAAATGGAAAGTACTTTTAATTTGTGAGATGGTTTTGTTCCAAGATTTGCATCACCATAATGTAAGGAAGAATGAAACCTCAATGAAAATTGGCCAAAACCACTTCTCCCTCTTTTTGTTTTTGGTTGGCAAAACTAGAAGAGTCGGTTACTCGTGATGCTTTAACACAGAACCTTATTGCCTGCAAAATGCCATCCCAGCATCTACCCTGCTCATATGTTTATACAACATCCACATCTCAAAATCCAACAAAGCTGAAAATATCAGACAACCTACTGAATGCACAAGCCCTGGGTAGGGGAGGAGCTTACCTTGGACAAATGTATCTGCAAATATGAACCATAATAACCCTTTGTGAAACTGTAGCCAAGCAAGGAAATGCCACCGTTTATGATTGTCTCAATGCTGAATCATTCACACCAAAACAAGCAACATAGAAGATTTTAATACAAATGTAGCTTTAATATTCAATATTAATGCTAAATCTATTAACTTGTCTCAAGCAGCAATTAAAATCACTCTTAGTCTGAGTACAGTTAAAAGCTATTCTCTCTCTTTTTATATCCCTTAAACCTTGCCCTAACAGGGCAGTTATAGAGTGTTCTCTGTAAGCACTTGTGGAAGGTCACAGAATGGCTTTAAATACATTCAGTGACTAATACATTACCGAGAGGGGGAAAGAAAATCCAAGACTAATTTAACAAAGCCAGTTCCTAATTATCACTTTGAAAGATCATGTTTTAGGGATTTCTGTTGTGTGCAAGAGTTTTAGGAAGAGAAGGCAGAAAATGAAAGAGCATTTTAATGCAGCCCTGCCAATCAGCTGTCACACGGTTCATTTTTCAGCCTCATCCATTATGCAGATTGGGGTATTATTATAAAATGCATTTTTGCTCAACCATGAGGCTTCAAGCAAACAAAGCAGGTGGCACTTGCACGAGGAGGACTGGCCAGCCACCCCCTGGGACTCTTTAATACCAGCCCAGGAAACAGCCACTCTCATTTGATGAAGAACAGGCCCTTTGGTATAGAATTGCCTGAAGAGATTCATAGAATAAGGTCATCAAAACCCGCTTCTCTTCTCAACAGTGCATGACACTGGCTTACCCTTTTCACTCAAGATTCAGACTGCTCACAGCTACGATTATAGTTGATTCTGCTGAAGCAACAGCAGAGTGTTTCCAAGTCAGCATCACCAACGCTGGAACAAATATCTGAATTGAAAACGTAAACTGAAAATATTCTGGTTGTGAAAAATGTGCTTTAAATTGTTCCTGACTGGGAGAAGTTAACATTATTCCAAGAACACGTTTAGTTACCTTGCTCTAATAAACGAGGCACATGCCTTTATCCCAACTTTCTCTGGCATGTTCTGCTCCCAGGACTCAAAGGTTGCGTGTTTCCCTTGGTCCGTCCTTTCCAGGTCTTCCAAAGGGCAGGGGAATTCTTTCACAGCTCGGCTGCCATTACAAGTCACTGCATTCTCCCTCTCTGTTTCTGTAGCCAGGCTGGACCGAGGGCCTTCTTTCTGGCTGTCTGATCTCTGAGGCTGCAAATTAATCTCTGTTCCAGGTGATGTTTTGAAACTCCTACCACTTACACTAACCTCTTCAGACTGATTTAGATTCGTTTCCGGAATGACTAACGGGGATATGCTCTGTAAAAGGCTCATATAAGCTTCCGCAAGTAACTTCCAGTACTGGGGGTTGAAAGGATGTAAGCAGATGAGTTGCTGCAGACACGTGATCTTTTTTCCTACGTTCTCCAGGCCCTGGTAAAGGGCAAACTGCAGGTTGAGAACCGCCGTTAAGTGATCTGTGTTAGTAGTGCCTTTTTGCTAGAAACAAAAGCCAACAGATGAAAACCAGGAGCAGAACAGAATCACCCTTCAGAGCCTAAGGAAACGTCTCCCTCAAGAATGACACACAAATACCACTAAAGGTACTTTTCAAACTGTCCAAAACTGTGCTCTTAATTTCAATGATAGAGATCATGCACAGCCAAGCTGACAGCATCCCCCTCAAGCTGCCTTGTGCCCATCTGAAGGCCCAATGTTGTCAGTTGTGTATTTGCCTTCAGAGCTTTATAGAGCTGCCCTTCTTTGTAGTATAAACCCCTTCTATATAAAATAAACAGCAGCAGCAAAATTCTAGCAGATTTCAGAGCCTCTGGATGTTTTCATTTGTGGTTAGAGACTCTTCTTGGTGGAGGTTTGGCAGCAAGTATATGGAAATAAAAGGGAGTTTTGAACCGTCACTCTTACAGTGGAAAGATTTAAGCACTCATTTATCCCTTTCTTATAATTCCTGTTACATTACATTAATTCTGCCTGGCAGAGCATGATGTTTAGTCCCTTCCAGGACTACCAGCCTCCCTGCACAGGGAGCTCATTGTGGTACAGGGTGTTCTGATTTCTAAAGAGTGATTATATCTGCAGTGACAGTTACCCTGTGTTTACCAAATACTCTCAGCACTGAACATCATGAAGGATTATGCACATGAAGATTATTTTCCCAGAAAATGGTTCATATGAAAGAACTACCAGCAATATTTTCACGTTCAAAGCCTAAAAGAAAGATTGCATTATTTACCATTTCTTCTGCAATATCCAGAGCCTCCTTGTGCCTTCCTAAGTGAGACAAACAGCGAGCCTGGCCCTCCTGGACATCCCGTCTCATGGCAATGTTACTGGGAGGTAAGAGCAGTAAGCACTTGGAGTATTCACACAGGGCTTTCTAGCAGGGTCAACAAAAAGAAAAGCCAAGCAAAGCAGTGAGATTTTCGTTTAAAAGCAAGCCTGACAGTGTGTTTTGGTTATGACTCCAGTCACAGAGGAAATTCAGGCGCTGAAGTCCACATTTTCACTTCTCTCGTCTCAGCTACCACCTATGCCAGCAACATAGGAGGGCCCTGGGACTACACAGCCAAGTCTAAACAGTGATGAGCAACCTCAGTCCTAACTGGTGTTGGATTCACCACACCTCTCCCCCACCAGGCTTGATCCAGAAGGGATCATCTACCAACCCACTGTATGACACAGGGCATCCTTCCCCCAGCTATCAGCTCAATGATCAGAGCACTCAGCTGAAATTCAGCTTCATGGGAAGGTTTGAACCTGCAAGTACCCACCTCACATGAGCAATCAGCAAGTCAGAGAACACCACGAGGAAGGTGAATCTCCATTGTTCCTGTAGGGTGGTTCTAATTTGCATGAAATAATTAAATATTAATTGGGCTACGGAAAAAGACAAGAATGAGCAATACTTTTGTAGCTTAATGCTCAGGGCACTCACCAGGACTCCAATTAACATTTAAATACAGTAAATTAAGTATTCAGTGAAGCCAAGACTGGAATCTCGGTTCCTCCCGCTTCATGGAAGTGCTCAGACCAGAAGACTAAAGAGCAGTGCTCATTCTCCCATCTCTCAAAATGAATATTTAATTATTCCTTGCAAACTTGATTGGTTCTAACAGAAAAAGCTTCCAGGCAACATACCCTGAATATTTCCTTGCAAAATGGATGAAATACTTTTCTTCCCTGGTGTTAAGCTCACATTCCTTCTCAACCAAAAAAGGAGTCACCATCCCTGGACTTATTTCCAGCCCCGTTCTACGGTTGGTGCTCCCAAACCTGTAAGTTTCTGTGCAGACTAGTTCTGGTTCTGTCACAGTGATCCAGGTTAGCAACACAACCAAAGACTACACATTTTTAACATGGATCACTGTGACAGAAAAGGATTAGGAAGCAAGCGTTTGTTCCACTACCAGCTCTGAGGGGGTGTCATTCTCTCCCAGGAGGGCACCACTGCTCACAGCAAGGAGCAATCTGCTCCTCCCAAGGGGCAGCAGCCATGCCTGACCGCAGCCTCAGGCATCTTCTCAGCACACTTCCATGAATCCCTCCAGGGCGCCTCTGCTGAGACTCAAAAGCGTCTGTTGGGTACAGACAAACAGCAGTAGCGCTGGAATAACATTAAAAAGCAGAAGTTGGTGCCAACCGAGGTACAGAAACATCAACAAATCCAACGGGCAAGGTGAAAGGAGCGGAGTGGGAAGTCGGCCCGAGGGCTTTGGAATGAGGGAGCCCGTAATGCAAACCACAGCCTGGAACAAGAAGCTATTACAGGTGAAACAAGGGCAGGAGCAGCTGATTTCAAGGAGGCCCGCAGAGGCAGGAGAGCACCGATGACCCGGAGCGCTGCTCAGGAAGGCGGCAGCGCGGACAGGCTCTAGCGCTGCAGGAGGGAGGCCCAGAACCGGGAAACAAGCGCACCCCGAAGGCACAACCAGCCATCCCGAGCACGGGGAGGCGGCACAGAGGGGGCACAACTAACGACGGGGCTCGTAAACCAGCTGTGGGGAGCCTGACGACTACATTCTGCTTCACCTCCCAGCGGGGTGGTCAGGGAGCCAGCTCAC